ACGTGTGCCTTTATTCTCGATATATCCGTACCTACGATATTCCTTCAAGTGCAATAGTAACACGTTTACCAACTTATTGATAATCTTTATCTTATCTACCATACTGGCTTTCGAAATAAGTCTGGTCAAGAACTTGCTCAACAAGTCCTGCGCCTCGTCGGGGAACGACTTGTCATTACTTATATTCTTATACCAAATCTCTATACACTTCGCGTTTATCTCTCGCGTCGTTTCTGTCACGTTTAGCTTTTTTCTTTTCGTCAAAGGGACCTCGTTCTTGCGGCTGCCGGTCGACGTCGCGTCATTATTGCACTTAATACTATCCTCTTGTGCAGAATTCGAGTCCTTTTGGTTTTCACTGTCACTTTTGCGAGTGATGACCTCTATATCGCCGTTCTCGTCCACCGAAGAATCCTCAGAGCTCAGCTGACCTGCCAGTCTAGCGTGTATCCACCTGTTCACGAACTCTAAAGCGATCGGACTGTTCGCCTTCAGTGTGAGGCGCAGCAAGCAGCAACTCAGCCATACGGATATAATTGTGATAAATACAGCCCAGGAAATGGAAACGTATATCGGCAGAACGGCGAGACCCGTCCAGCCTTGCACAACCAAGGACAATATTGCAGCTGCTATACTAAAAACTAGTAGTATTTGGTTCAACCAACTCATCGGTATGACTTTCTCCATTTTGCGTTACACCGTAATGCTTTAAATTACGCAATAACTTAAGCGTCACATTTTGTGCTACAGTAACCGGAACCTGCCAAGAGGAGAGAGATACACTTAATTTCTTTTCAGTTTATCGTCTGTATTGTATGTGAAATAATGCTACACAGTTAAGAGGTGGTGAGATACACGCTTGCTTTTGCAGAAACTGATAGAATCTTACTCGTTCGTGTCAACGCTTGCGGGAGATGCAATTCGAGCAAGCGCGTATCTTGAATATTTTCATTACAAATGCATATGTAAATAGACGTAAACATGGAGTAAGCGAATTGCCGTAGTAGAATTAAACGTGTACAGGTCGAATTAATTGATAATTCTAAAAAAACATACCACGTATGCATTCCCACTTCACGCACAGCTGTTTATCGCCATTCCCAGAGGTTCCCTCGTAGGCGATTAACCTCGCCGTCAACGCGATTCGGGGTCACGTCGCGAGAGGATCGGCGCCCGCACCTCCTCGTCATCTGTTACGATAAATCCATATCGCGCGGCGACCCCATTTATGTCGATTTGTTCGCGTAGACGATCTCCGTCAACATTCCCCGTCCTGTTACGCGCGACGCGGTCGCGGAACACGCATCTTCGCGAGATCATCGGCCATTATTCGTTTTCGGGGGGCTGACGACGTCACGTGACGATCGTGTGTACTTCGTGACACCGACGAATAAATCTCGACCGTAGGTAAATGTCCATAATTATCGACGGAGCTCCGCATTGAAGGGCGCTCTGTTCTAAGGACTTTTCGGTTGGCCACCCTGGCCAGAGGCGAACAGACGACGGACTGCGGACACGACGATTGTCATTTTGCACGAGTGTGTTGCGTGAAAACGACTGCCCTTGGTCAAGGTATTCCCGGCGAAGATGTTAAATTCAGCGAGCGTGATCGCGCGCCAGGCGGTGAGGAGATTCACGACGAGCGTGGTCCGCAGGGGAGGTCACCACGATCCCTACGACGGCATTCCCGGATATGTGAGTGACGAATTTTGGACGATTGCATAACGTGCCCGACGTGCGCGGCGCCCCCGATGACGAGCACTACGTCTAACCCGCGATACCTCTTCTTGCAGAATTTCCCCTTCAGCACGAAAAACAGGCACGTATTTCTAGCTAAGTTCTTGATCTACCTCGGCAGCGGATTCTGCGCTCCCTTGATCATAATTCGTCATCATATGCTGAAATAAGCTTCTAGTACATCACATGTCATCTTGGGAGTCAGGTATTTTATAATAAATATTTATTATATAATTCTAATTTCTTGACTTTTGCGCTCGTGAATGCGTGTTAACGCGATATATGTATTTTTGATTAATTGACAAAAGACTCTGGCATTGTCCTAATTGTCACTCTTTTTTTTTTCAGATTATCTGGCTGTGTTGCACTAGTATAATATCCTGTTGTTCGATTATGCTAGAATAATGCAATAGGAAATGTATTCGTAATAAAAGATTTATCAACATCCAAATGTCTATCAGATGTAGAAGCTTATTAAAGTTGTTATATCATTTTTCTCCGTTGTGAACTTGTAATCCTACTTAGTAATAATTCATCTGGAGTACAATCAGGTATTTAAATTTTATTTGCTAATTATTTTTGTTTTCTTTCCTACTTTCTATGCAACCCAGACAGCACTATGTCCAATGTATATCTATCAGGACATAAGATTTATTTGGTTTATTAATTATTTTTTTAGATTTCTTATTTTTTAGTAGATGTCTTATTAAGATGTTTTGATTTTGGACATTCGTACTGTCTGGGAAGTCATCAATAATCATTCATCTAAAATATTGAAAAGATAGTCATTGATGGTTTGAGTGATAAAAAGAATTTGTAGATAATTAGATAAGATATATAAAGAATAAGTGATATTTTTAGAAATACAATTATATAATCATAAACAATAATGTCTCAAAATGTTTTACGATCGTGTATTACGCATACAACATTTATTTATAACGTTTTATCTCCAATACAATGGATATAATTAATGTGCTATTTGATAGATATAGTTATATCTTAAAAGTAAATATGTATGCAACACTGGATAAATGTTGCATAGTCTTTCAATTAATAATCGAGCCTAAAATATCTTACAAGCTTCTCTTAGACTACACAATTCTCTTCCGTGCTACTCGCAGTACGTTTTCTTATACACGTGTGCATCTTTTGTCACGTATCAAAATCACATTCTGGCAACCGCGGTCCCTTACGATGCGACCGCTTTAGATAATCTATATAAAATAGACAGTTTATTACATAGACGCGTGAATACGTGACATTCATGTGTACAAGCAGAATCAGAAGGTCTTATGTTATTATTTTAATATATCGAAAAATGCTTACGGTTGTTATAATCTTCGTGAGACCGATAGGAGTCTGGGCTAATAACTGGAGCATTCTTTATACGATGCGATCCCCATTCATCTTCGTGTAGCTGTAATGAAATCAAATGAAATTAAGTTCAGTGAATAACTTCAATTCTGCTAAATTTATAATAATGTAAGATTTTTTTTAGAGACGTTAAAAATTTGTCAGCGATTTAACGAACGTGCGCCTTGTCGTATTTCCTGCTTTCATTCTGTTTTCGGCGTTTCTTATTTACATGAAACTTTCCCTTCTTTTTCTTGACTATATACTCGCTATCCCATTGCTGATCTTCGTTTTCACTCGCGTCCTTAATCAACGGTTGCTCCTCCATCGGGTGTTTCTATAAAGTAAGAAAAAAATTTTATCTTGTTTAAATTCTAACATTACACCGTAGTTTTACCTCTTCAAACATGTCTTGCTTCACAGTAAGACCAGCTATTCGCTTTACGAAGAATTTCTTTTTAGCGCAGCAAATTATCCATACTAATAGCAAACATATCGACAGCATCGCGCCAACACTCGCCAGAGTTACCATTACAGCGGAGAAAGAATTCCAGAGCTGTGAAAGTAAACGATTTATATGTTGTTAAATAATATTCCAGATATTATTTAAAAAATAATGTCGAATATTATTACACAATATATAATTTAATTTTTTAATAAAATGTCTTATGTCCCGATTTTGGGCATGCGGGTGTTGTCCGGGATGCCACACTAATAAATATCGAAATCAGAATAGCGCGAAATATGGCAATTTTGAAAAATTATATTTTACAAGTTGCAATCGGATACGCACCATATTGTAGCAGCCTTTCGTCATTGGATTAGTGCACGTGCGACAAACTCTGGCGCCGTGATTCGGCTGAAATGTGCCGGGCGGACATCTTTTACAATGCGATATTCCGTCCTCGCTATAAGTGCCCACATTACAAGGAACTGAAAAGATCCGTTAGCCGCTAGTTAATTTATTAAATCATATTGATTTTCCTTTCGTGCGAATTACGTACCACAACGTGTTTCACGAAGACCATATCCCGCTGGACAGCTGGAGAACAAACCGATATTGCTGGACCTTCCGGCGAACGCGTTTGCATCGGTCTTCCCTCTCTTCCGTCTCGCGAACGATGACTTTTCGACGATCGGCACCAGTCTCTGCTCGTAATGCGGCAATCTGAAAATAACTATAGTTAAAGAACTCTATAGAGATGTATTGTGAGTTATATAAGACCGCAATTAATTTTATAAAATTAGAAATATTTATTAATTATTTGTATTAAATCTTGCTGCAAAGAGAGAGAGAGAGAGAGAGAGAGAGGGAATCTTCCGAACAGAAAATTTAAAAAATTCTTTTTAACGTAATGGTACTTTAACGAAAATACAGGAAAATCTAGAATAGATAAAATTAATTTTTGCATTGTAAGAAAGTAGAAAATATGTTGCAACAAAGTAAAACGAATACATATTTGTCAACTAACTAGTCTTCCCGAGGAAGATTTGCAAATTTTTACTCAGTATCAGCGAGAGTTTATCTTGAATGGCTTTAAGACAGAAAACGTTACAATGCTTGGGGTCGATCGTCATCAATTTAATAATATGCGATGGCACTAGCAGAATATTTATTGTAATCTGTAACCCAGAACGCATTTAATTAATCAAAATTGAGAAAGATCCGTGAGAATGTACACCATTTTATGTACATACAAAGAAACGCACTTGACTTCGGGAGCAAGAAGGCGTTAAGACGTAAGCGTTGCAGACATCCGCTTCGCATATAACGCTGTTCAATTTTATGGGTAGATACGTTATCAGCACGTCCAAGTCCCCTTCGTCGCAAGATCGTACACGATAACGATTCTCGCCGTGGACAATGTACCTCGGCAGCGTGACAACTGCGAAAGGATCTCTTTTTAGCAAAGTCAAGTGTTTGTCCCCTTGCACGTCGAACTAAAATATAAGTAGATATTGATTAGAAACCAGTGATTCATATAACCTTGTAAATGAATCTCATAAACGGTCTCCACGGGCTCCTCGTTGTCGGGGCTCATGTATGTCATGATGCAAGTGTAGTTTCCCGTATCTTTCGCGTTCACGTTTCGTAATTCCAAATCGCCGTTCTCCGCTACGAAACCTACAACGAATCAATTTCCAAATGCGTTCTAATTTTAATTCCGAAATTTTCTTTCGAATCCGAATATAACAGAATGATACGATGCCGCACCGAAGAGTGCGATACCGTCCGTTCTTTTCCACGTGTAACTCGGTCTGCTAACACTTGACAGCCACGTGATACCATTGCCGTCTTGATTACAAGGTAAATTGAGATTGAGACCGGGCAATGAGATGACATCGTGATCTAGAAAAAGAGATTCTTTGTATGTTATTAATATTTTCGATATTAAATATTTGATGAAAAATTTGCGACAGAATTACCACTATCGAGTTCCGAGTCGCTTTTGAAGTTGTCCTCCAGCTCTTCCAGCTTGATATATTTTTGACCCTTCAGCGATTCGGTGTTGTAATGCGGTTGTGAAAATTCTCTAGCCTCCTCCATGTCAGCATCCATCGAGATCACTATTTTATCTTGAATGTCTTTATATTCGCTGCAATTAAGTGTCTTAATTTCGTCTAATGGAAAGTTTTTTCTGTCCAATAGAGATCTTATGTTATTAACTACAGTCACGATGTCGCAAATGCAATTGAAACAATTATGAATTTTTTTTTCATGCGACGCAGATGTTGATTTATTTTTATGATCGATCATTTTGGAATGCGTTACTTTCTCATTCTTATCGGCGGTGCTTTTTACTTGATTCAGCGACTTTGTCGTCGTTTTATGATATTTATTTTTTGTACTCACGACACAATTGTCTGTATTATGAAGAATGTGTAAATTAATGTTTTGTGATGTTTGCGATTTTTGTTTTTTCTTATGCTTGTTTGTGACATCTTTATGCTTAATAATTTGACGCTTCAATTTATTCGCATTAACAACGCACAGCTTGCGACTTTTTGCTGTTATTAAATCTTTGTTGCTGGTACGCCAGAAATCGTTAAATCGTATCGTTTCCTTTTCCTCGAAAGCCCGTTTGTAAGAATTTGATTCGTGTAACTTTTGCGAATTGCGTTTCAATTTTTTCGCCACCTTGGGTTCGTAAAATTTCGTTTTTAGCTTGTAACGCAATGCATTAATTTTATTTCTTGTTACGTTTTTAAGACTGACATTTCGCTTTTTAATAGGAATATGCTGCTTCATCCCATTGTTATAAATGTTCCGTTTACGATAAAATACATTAGACTTTATTTCGTCATTTCGTTCGTTTTGAAGGACAACATCGAAACAGGTTGTCCTAGTGATCGATACGCCGATGGTTTTGCTTTTCTTAGTCGTCGTACGTAATACTGACGGTTCCGTAACGAAGTCGAGTTCCCAAAATCTAGTACCGCCTAAATGATACGTTGTACTTCTCTCGGTGGGCCATGCTTGATTCAGTAATTCTCTTTCATTTTCAGTCGTTCTTTTATCCTTGCTTCTGTCTAAGAATCTTTCGTGTGTCCGTGTCGATGTTTCATGTTCCTCATAATTCATATAATCTATAATTAAAATTATATATAATATATTAAGATTATATTAGAAAGAAAGAAATTTACATCTAAAAGGTTTTATTTTGTGTGGTATCTAATATTATATTAACGTAAATAAATATAAAAATAAATAAAGAAATTTGTAAAAATTAGATCAGAATCCTTAAAAAGTTAAGATTAATTTTATCATACTTTCTATCATATCCTCGATATATTCATCATCCTCTTCCATTCTTTTCTCCATTTCGTCTGACAGTTCATCGTCTTTTTCTTCAATCTCATAGTATGGCGTTGTAATTTTTCTATCTTCCCCAAATTCAGTTACATAAATGTCATTTGATTCAGATAAAATCGCTGTTAGTTCGTCTTCATCTGGTTTAGCAGATATTATTTCATGCGTTTGTTTGTCCTCATTGTAATTGAGATGTAGCACATTTACCGTGTAAGCCCCGTTCTTTTCAGCTATTGCAGTTGTTGTTTTTTTATTCGAAATATTGGCCGTACTTATCCTTGACCGAAATTGTGCATTGTTCTCTATCGGTGAAACGTCTCTTTTTCGGACATTTGCTTTGTCGTCAATAGGAAGATCACTTTTTCTTGCAAAAATCAAATTATGTCTAAAGAAAGTGTTTCTCTTTCCATATTTCTTACTGTCCATCGTAGACGTTGCGGTCGGTTGGAAGAAACTTTCATGATGTTCAAGAACACGTTCATACAGAGGGGTTTTACCTCGAAAATCGCTAGTCGTATTTCTTTGCGTGTCAATAATAGTTGCAATATTTTTTCGAAATTTTCTCATTTTTTTGTAGATTCTAGTGAAACCTTTAAAGTGTTGCAGCGGCTTCGTGCTTTCGTTGCTCAGCCATTCGTGATATGACAGCTGCAGATTGTCGATCTTACGTGTAGTCTCTTTCACCCTTCTACGATCCCGAAAATTTGATAAAACATTCCCTCTCGGTCTTCTAATTTTTTTCGTATTTTGCAAAGCGAGAAGCCTTCTGCTTAATCGACCGACTGATTCTTTGTTTTTTTCGGGAAAATACGGCAGACAGATTTTTTTAGTCACAATGTTCCTTCTTTTTTTATCTAAGGGAATTGTTGTATTTTCTAGAACATTCAAACATATTCGTTTCGTCGCTATTTCATCTTCTTCTTTTTGTGTAACAGTTTTTTCAAAAACAGGCTTTGTCCATTTTTTCTCTTCGATTTCTTTAATTTCTGTATATCGAGACGTTACCATCTTCGTGGTCGTCCGATTTTCTTTCTTCTCGATTACTCTTTTAGTTTGTGTCGTCAATTGAGCTTTTGTAGTGGTCTTTTCAGTCGGTGGCACTGGCGTTGATAAACTTGTGAGCACAGTCGATTTCTCGAGTGGTGTAATTGACGTTTTTTTCTTCTCAAACTCTTTCACGTATCTTTCAAATTCTATTATATCTCTCTCTAATCTTTCCTCTCTTTCCAGCAAAATCTTTTTCCTCTCCTCTAATTCGCGCTCCTTCTCACGCAGTTCTTCTTTCAATCTTTCTATTTCCTCGTCGTACTTTATCTCTGTAATCGTCTTTATCTGTGTAGTGCCAATAGCCAAAGTCGATGATATGGTTGTGCTGGTAAACTCTAATGCCGGTGAAGTGAATAAAGGTTTACTATAAATTTCTGTATAAGTTTCTGTGTATGTTTCTTCTGTAGTGTACCAAGTAGGGGTTGTAACTAAAGTTACTAAACTGGTCTCCTCAAATCTTTCACTTAATGTAGCAATGGGTAAAGTAAATTCGGTGACCAATGTAATTGGCCTAGTAATGGTAGGTGACGCGAATAAAGGTTCGCTATAAAGAGTCATGTAACTCGTAGTATGCATTTCTTCGATAGTATAAGGAGTCGTAGTTTCAATTGAAACTAAACTGATATTGTATAATTCTACGATAGATGTAGTGACATATGGCACCAAGGTTACATATTCCGTAATTTGCACTTTCTCTATCTCTTCTGTAATATACATAATAGGTGTGATTTCCTCTGTAGTATAAGGTATAACTGTTTCCTCTGTAGCGTATGTCGTAAATATAATTTCTTCTACGGTTGTTTTCTGTGTCGTAGTATATGTCACAAATGTAATTTCCTCTGTGGTACTGAATGGAATTGTTTCCGTTGGAATTTCGACTAAACTCGACGTAGCAGTAGACATTTCGAGACTAGAAAATGTGACTTCAATCTCCGCAGTCGATATAGTTAAATTTTTTGCAACAGTATAGACAGGAGATGTGATCGAGGTAGTGATAATAGTTGTAATATAGCCCTCGGTTGTACCGGCTGTTGTAAGATTTTTTTCTTTCTCTTTTTCACGCTGCATCATTTTCCTTCGTTTCTCTTTCTCCACGTCCCACTGCCTCTCCTTCTCCTTAAGCCATTCTTCTCTCTCTGCCATTTCTTTCTCGTGTTTTCTGAGATCATCGAGTCGTTGCAGTAATTGTTCTTTCTCTTCTCGCGCGACAGTTTCGCTCGTCGTGGTAAATACAAGTTCAATTTCGGTCGTGATAAACGGCGTGACACGTGTAACAGCTTCCTCTTCCGTCATCGCCGAAGTGGTAACTTCATAAATGGTTTCGATAATACCTTCGATTTCGGAAGTGCTCATAGTCGTCACGCCCGCTACAAAAGCTTCTCTCTCCGATAATGTCGTTACTGCCGATGAGACGAAGACGGAAGTTAACTTCTCCACGGCAGTCTCCTCGGTCTCTGTTGAAACTCGTTCCGAAGCCGTAGTCTTTTTTAGTGCGATCTCCGGAATTTCTTTAGGTTTTGTGGTGAATTTTGGCGAGGTAACGCGCCATATATGCGTGAAGCGTTCTAAATCTGTGTACTTAGGAGGAATCGTTAGGTATTCAAGCGGCTCCGTCGGAATTTTAAAAGTTGTCGAAGAGGGGAGCGTGTACTCTTCAGTAGAACCAAAAGTTAACGATATTGTCGTCGATTCTACCTCTTCGCTTGCAGCGGACGTCGTAAATTTTGTTTTCACTTCAAGTGTCGTTACATTTTCAACTGTTGTCGATACGAACGTCGATGCGGACGTTTCCAAGGCAGTTGATGTAACTTCTTCGGTATAAAATATTTCCGAAGTAGCCGCGGTTGAAGTCACATTAATATAAGTCGATGTAGTCAATGTGGTAGATGTAGTTTCAAAAACTGTCGAGTATCTTGTAAACTCGGAAGTTTCTGTTTCATACGAAGACGTTGTACCTTTAATGAAAGGTGGACTTGTTGCCTTTTCTTTTGGCAATTTTGTATATTTTACCGCTACAGTTGTCCCCTTTTCCGTCGTGCTTTCGTATTCATAATCATACCACTTACCAGTCGGCACTTCAGTATCGTATTCTTCGTACTCCTCATATTCCTCTTTGTAAAATGGCTCTTTCGCAACGTAATACTCTGTCTCGGCTTCTAGCATTTTTTCAGTGGTTGCTATCGAAATTGCAACAGTGGAATGAACCGTTGTTTCGATAAATAATGTCACGGAACTTTTTGTAACGTACGTTATCGATGGACTTTCAGTCGTAAATGCTTCTGATACAATTTCTGGTAATGTAGAAATAATTTCCGGTGTAGTGACAGGCGTTTCCGATGTAATTATTATCGATAGAATAGATTCGGAAAATGGAGCAAGCGGCACGGCGATTGCAGCTTCTAAAATCGTTGCATATTTCGGTTTTTCAGTAGTCGGCAACGTAGCAAAGTACAAGCTTGTCTCCGTAATTTCTGTAGCAATTTTTTCCAAAAGTGAAGCAGTTGTCGCGGCTGTTGTGAGTATAAAACTGGTACTCCTGATACTTGTCTCTATTGCTGACATTGTACTTGTTTCAGTGGAAATCAGTATAACTTCCGAAACTGTCGATATTTCCTCGATTATCGGAGTGACGATTTTTTCAATTAATAAAGTCTCTTCAGTTATCGTAGGCAAAGTAATTGTTTCGAGAGGAGTAGTCGTTTCGATAAAAAATGGTGTGATAAAAGATGTCATTGGTGTTGTTTCTTCAATGATAGTGATTTCTTTTGCAGTAATCCAAGTTGTACGTTCTTCCGATGTTAATTCAGCTGTACTTATTGTAACTGTCACTATTTCTTTTTCCGTGCTTTCATAGTAATATTCTTCATATTTTGTGGTTTCTTTATATTCTATTATAGGAGACGTCGGGCCTTCGGTAGTCTCCGTTAAAAAAGATGAAGTAACTGAGGTAGAAGTAGTCTGATAAAGCGTTGTTTCAGTTTCCATTAAAATAGACGTCGTGATTGGCGTTGTTGCCGTAAAATATATAAGCGATGATATTGTACTTTCGAAAATCTCTGTCGTGATTGTGCTAGCAGTTGTACTGGAAACTGTCGCGTTCACGGCCGTGATGGATAATGTAGTCAGAACTGTTTCGATCGTGGACACCGTTGTAGGAATTGACAATACAGCCGTGGTTTGAAATGTCTCGAGTGAAGACGCTGCCGTTGTAAGTATCGAGGAGGCTGTAGTCTCTTCTGTTAAAAACGTAGAAAGCGTAGTATTTGGCGTTTCACCTGGCATCGTACTTGTAGCCAGCGATAGTGGCGTTGTCGTTATTATTTTCAATGACGTGGTTGGAACTGCAGTTTTGAAAGTTATTGTAACAGGTCCTTTTGTCGTAGTCAAAAACGTGCTAGAAATTGTAGTATACGGCGTTTCACTTAGCGTTGTATTTGTAATCAGCGTTTGTAGCGGCGTTATCGTTGCTAATTTCAACGTAGGAACTGCGGTTTTAGCGGAAATTGTTGAAACAGGTGTTATCGAAGAAATTAAAGTGCTTTCAGTTGTTTCCGTGATAAAAATTGTAGTAAAAGTGGTCAGAGTTGACATTGGAAAAAATTCTTTCGGGGTCGTTGGTATGGATAATGTACTCTCTGACGTTGTAAAAAATTTAGTTGTAACATAAGTAGTCGTAATCACTGAAATTTCGGTAGTTCCTAAACTTTCAGTAGATATTTCCATAATTGTTGGCGTTAAGGTACTTGTAGTCTTTTTAACCGGAATTTTGGTAGTTGTTAAAGTTTCCAAGGTTTTTGTAGTCGTTAAAATTGTACTGGTCGGTGGTATCTCGCTGGCTGTCGGAGTTTCGAGAGATGTCGGCGTTCCCGCAGTTACAGTTTTATTAACCGTTAGAATTTCGGTAAATGTTGTAGTTTTTATGGACGTTAAAATTTGAGCAGTTGTTTTAGTTTTAAAAGGCGTTAGAGTTTCAGTAGGTGTTAAAGTTTTGGCACTTGTTATTTCTTTAGTAACTGGAGTTTTGAGAGTTGTCAAAATTTCAGTAGGTATTGAAGTTTTCGTAATTGTTGTAGCTTCTACAGTCGTTGGAATCTCGGTAGCTGCGGTCGAAATTTCAGTAGTAATTATTGTAGTTATTGTAATTTCAGTAGGCAGAGTTTCGGTAGTTGTTGGGATTTCTGTAGCTGTTTCTTCCGCGGTTATAGTTTTCTCAATCTGCGCCACTGGACTCTCGTCTTCCGGTGTTAAAGTAGTTGTCATACCTTCCGTCGACGTACTTAAAATCGTTTCCGTTTTTTCTAAAATTGTAGACGAACGTGCGATTGCAGTAGTACTTTCAGCTTTATACAAAGTTATATTTTCGCCAAAAATAGATTCTAATGTTACAGTTTGAGGACTTGTTGTAGTTGCAAAAAATGTCGAAACTGGTTCCGTTGTAGTTTTAATCGTTAATTCTGTTTCTGTAGTCCCAAATAATGATACCGTTGATAATGTATATAAATATAAAGATACAGTTGTTTCAACAAGCGGACTTCGCGTTATTTCCGTCGCCAGAGATGTACCTTCCACAGCTTCTTCTTCTGTAGTCACGATTTCAGTATATAACGACACGGGCGTCTCTTCGATTGAAATTATAGTAGCTACAGGAATCGTAATTTTCAAAGTAATGTCCGTCATACCTTCTAAAAATGGAGTTAACAGCATGACAGACTCAGTTGTAAAATTTTCTGTCGTCGTAATAATTGGTGCCTCAGTAAAATACGGCAAGAATGTTAACGTGGATAAAGAAACTTTCGTAGTTGTAAAAATCAGCGGTGGCAACGACCCCGTTAGATTCTGCGTGGTCCATAACACATCGGTCGCGTATTCCACGTGAAGTTTTTCTGTCTTGCCCAATAATCGAAGTATATCGTGATAAGCCGTTGCTTCCTTGTAAAATTGCGGATCAGTAGGATGAAATTTTTTCTCTTTACCAGATATTTCACCTGACGTTGCTCTCTTCACATCCTGTTGCATCAGATCTCGTTTATTATCCGATAATAAATGCGCTGAACTATCCTTCTTCATAGATATATCCAAAAAGGGCATATTATTTGGCGAAATTATCGATCTGCTCGTTTGATCATTTCCTTCATAATTTTGCGCACGTCCTTCCACAAAATTACTTTCGCTCGGTACGTCACTATCACTCAAACGCAACAATTTTATAATTGGCCTCGTTGTGCGTTTCATTCTTTTCGATTCGGAATCGGTAAGCTGTCGGAAGGGCTTCACTCGCGTCTCGTAATTTTTCGTCAGTGACTTTAAATTCCTGTTAAATCTCGAATGAGGCAATCTGCGTCCCTTAACGTTGCCTGATTTGAGAAACTTTCCGTCAATTAATTTTCTCTTTTTGATAAAGTTTCTGCGACCACTCCGTACCTCTGAATTGCTTTCGCGTTTACGAAACGGCGTCGTCAATTTATTCAAAAAGAAACCGTCAGTTTTTTTTCTAATTTTTACGCGTTCTGGAACATTTTTATTTTTGGCTTTAATACGTCTCCTGTCCAAAGACTGACTATCAAAACTTTTTGTGGAGAGATCAGAATCGTAATGATCTTCTCTGTCAATTAGTTTCGCAATATTTGTGGCTTTTGTGTCTTTACTCTCTCGCTCGACGACGTCGTTTTTTTTATCGCACAATCTGTTTTGCACATCACTGATGCTTTGGTTGACTACCTGAATTGCGCTTAGCAACTTTTGCAGCTCCGACGACAATGGTTTAATTGCCATTAATAAAGCGTTCGAATTTTCTACAGTAGATTTCGCCTTTTTCAATGACCATTTATCAGTATTTAGAATTAACGGCACAGATGTCACGTAATCTTCTGCATTAAGGAACGAATCTATTTCGGTAGTATAATTACTAAACGATGCCTCATCGATAGCTCTATTATCGTAATTAAAATCGATGGAATGTGTTGACTTTTTATTGCTATATTCGATTTCTGAAATCGAGATTCCGTATTCTCTGTTATCTTTATCTACATCTTCGCTTTTTAAAATGGCATTATTAACGAAGGCGTAAGTAATGTTTGGAAAGAAAATATTATCTTCGTTTGCAGACGCGTCAAAGGCAGGGCTATATTGCGTCGAAATGTCATCTATAAAGTCTATTGTAAATTTATCTTCGTTGCTTCCTGTCAAAAATTTAGAATCGTCCTCTCGACTTCGTGACATATCAAATACTTCTTTATCGTTATTAGTTAAGTACATTTCAACATTTTCCAAAGCGGCCGACGTGTTTATATTGTCATTAAGTACTAAAGTATCTCGGAAATCTGCAGTTGTCAATTCGACACCAAACTCGCTGTATCCTAAAGAATTACCATAATTTCCGCTGTCTTGTTGATTTATTTCATTATTTAATTTTGTCGTAGACAAGATACTCGATTGACCGACATTCGCATTTTCCTTCGAACACACATTATAATTTAAAATATCGAGGGAAGAAGGTGACGAATCGTAAGAATTGATACCGCCACGTGAGTTAATAACTTCCGCGAAGGAAATATTCTCGTAATCCGAAACGGGGGAGATAACTGGTTCGGAAATCTCAGGAGTAGCGTCGATTAAATTCGGATCAGTCTGTAAAGCAATACCCGGATACAAGAAGTCAGGATAGGACGGCGGCACTGGATTTTCTACGGGATTCGCACTTTCTTCGGAGACACGAGGATCGAGGGTGGGATACAAATAATTCGCGTTGTGATCAAATAAACGATGATTACCTCTTTGAATGTATGCTCTACCTACGTCTTTCACATCGTGGTGCATGTGCGCCTTGAACGAGAGAATGGCGGATGTTGCGCTGTCCTTATCTCTTTCCAACAGTTTATATCGCTTAGGTACAATTATTCCATCTACGGCTGTCCGAGGACTCTCTCGGATATTCTTCAAAACGTACAAATCCTTAGATACCGGTACTAATAAAAATCTTTTGTTAGAACCTATCGGACGGTCATTGAATAATTCTTTAACATTGTGTGAATTTGTAGAATCCCTCTGATGTCTGTATCGCCACTGAAATCCTCGAGGACGACTGGAGCTCAGCAAGTCCACGTCAGCGAGTATTTCAGGATGATACGCCGGAGGCAACATTTTGTTATCCAGTCCTTCAAAAGTAGGAGTTCGTACGTCGATCTTAATTTCGGATTTCGGATTTGCGATTTTGGAAAGTATTAGATTTTTGTTAGAAGCATTTAAATCAAGTAATCCCCGCGAATTAGTTTCATTCGCGGAGCGATCATAGTCCAAGTTCTCTAATTGCGATCTCGCAATTGCGTCCAACGATCGAGTAATCATCTCTGTTTCTACGATCGACGGATTTGTCGTAGAATCCAAATTAATAGTGGCAACCATTGACTCTGGGACTCGCCAAATCGGAAATCTCTCCACATTCGAGATACCGTCCTCATTGATATCGTTCGAATTTTTCGCATGTTTCTTTCTTTTTCGCAGACTTCGCTTGATTCGTTTTAAGTTGCTGTTTAAAATTTTTCTACTTTGCGGAAAGCCGATTCGATTCTCTTGTAATGATTGCCTGTTGCGTTTATTTATTGTCTGGATTATATCATCATTGTTAAGTATTTCAGATACTCTATTTCGCGTTGCTCCATTTTTCGGTTTGAAGATGTATTTCATGCTATTTCCTACAAAGAGCGAAAAAAAGAAAACATGCTGGGGTAACATGTGCGATATCATTAAAAAGATGATTATCAGTCGTTTTAGATATTAAAGAAATAGTGTCTTCTATACATATGTGAAAAATATTATAATCTTTATGTTTAATAAAAAAATCACTTGACAGAAATTCGATAAGAATAATATACCTGACATCGTTTTGGCAATATCGCCACCAATCGCGATTCTTGCCACATAAGTCGCAATGTAAAATACGATGAAAAGGATAATTCGCATATCGTCATATCACGGGCATCCTTAGAGGCGGTCCTTCGCTCACGATTCGCGCGTACCGTCGCCGCTATTTCGCACGAATTTTCCATGGAGCATCACACAATGTATCACGAAGATGTACTGTCATAGAAAAGCGATACAGGCGATACAGACTTGAAGTGTTTGCAATGACATGAAGTTTATAAAATTCGTGCAGTTTGACAGGAGCGATATCAATAACTGACGAACGCAAATGAGAACGTTTTATGCATGGTGTAAGAATATGTATTCTTACACCATGGTTTTACGTATAGGATTTTGAAATCGATCACTTATCTTACATAATTTCACTACTTTATCGAAATGATGATGTGAAATTCATCAACGCCTGCAGATATGCAACTGTATGTACATACATATAGTACATACACAGTGCTTACATAACTGTAAACGATTTCGATTTTTAAATTAATATTTTAAATTATTTAAATTTACTTTTAAACAAATGTTTATTAATAAAAAAGTAAGATGTAGTATTTCTTTATTATATATAAAGATAAATCAAATCTACTACATAAAATTAATTGAAAATTTTTAAGATATAATAAAGTGTATTAATGATACGAAATACTTGTCTTGTAAATCTTTCTTCCACACATATTTCTATATATTAAATTAAAAATTTTTTTATAAATTTTCAGAGTTCAAGTTTGGAACAGCAAAGAAAATTAGCATAAATCAAGAATCTCGAAAATTGACAAAAAAGAGAATCAGCAGGAAGATTGCATTCTCTAAAATTCCAAGAATTTTTCGACATTTCCAAGAATTGAAAGAAAAATTGAAAAAATGACAAGTTACAAATTTGCAAAATTTTAAAAGTTAAAAATATCAGAGGAGGCCAAGAAGGTATAAAATATATACAAGCGATATTTTAAAAAATTTCGATTTTATTTTACTTTTTTAATTTTTTCTTTATATTAGGAATTCTTTATTATTATGAAAGACTATAATTTATCAGCTGTTAAGCTAAATTAATTGCTGTTTTATTTTATTTTAACAATAATGTCTACAATTGTCATTTAACAAAATTCAGAAATATCCTAATTTGTCTATATAATTTAATAAATAAATTTTCTTTGAAGGACATGTATTTCAATGCGCACGTGTATGAACCGTCTGTTATGACATTTTATACGATGCTGACAGCTGAGGCGGAGATGTACGATCAGTAGAAAGATAGAAGAGAAAGAGAGAGAAGCGGAGGAAACGCGCGTCTTTCACAAGTGTAATAATATTTGTTTCCAATCTATCGTATGTGTATATACATGAAATCGGTAAACATAATACAAACAGTTATGATTTGATTATTGTCAAGAATTAAAATTGATCTAAAGTGATGCACGAGCATTCGCACGTCGAATCTCATCGCAAAATTAAGGTTATCATGAGAATTTGACATAGGAATATAACAGTTAATATTACGTATGTAAGTATATATAAGAGTATAATACATTATTATAAATATTAAATTGACTGTATATCAAATCAAAAACAACATTTATTTGTAGGTGCTGTCAGACTGTACAAAATGTCATGCTATTCAGAATCTCTCGTGGCTGTTCTGGAGCATGTTTGATAAAGGAGAAACTTGTCCCTTAAGTGGCTTTCGAAAATCATTTTCATTATTCTGATAATCGATAACAACAATCTTAAAAAAGAAGATTTCTTAAACGTAGCAAAATGAAGGCATTCCTTAAAATATTATATTCACTCTGCTGGAGCAACGCATACTTGATAATGGGTATATGCATGGGGTTAAGTTTTAGCCTCCTGTTGATACCAATTGACGTCGACAGACAGCACGACGTGGCGGAGTCTTTCGATCATTCCCTAAACACCTTGGAGGATATAGATCCTTACGAGCCGAGAATAAATACTGACAGTAAGCAACAGCCGCAACAGGTGCAGAAGGCGAGGAAGGCGTTTGTGCGTCCGAGGTACTACTCCACGGAGCTTGGGATCAGGGAGAAGTTGTTCGTGGGAATTATAACGAGCCGCGAGCATCTGCACAGCAGGGACGTGGCGCTGAACAAGACGATTGCTCATATAGTCGACAAAATACGCTACTTTATCTCCATACCAGAAGGGACCAAGCCGAACGTCTCCTTTCCCGGAATCGTGGGATTTACCGACACGAGGAACATCCTGAAGCCCTTCCACGCCATGAAATACATCATCGACAACTATTTAGAAAGCTACGACTATTATTTCCTAATTAAAGATGTGAGTTACGTAAATGCGAGGGGTCTGATGGAGTTTGTGAATAAGATAACTGTGAGCCAGAACGTCCACACAGGCGTTCAAAGTGAAATTGACACCTACTGTTCTCTAGGTAAATAATACAGATTTATAATTTAATTTTTAATTCTAGTCAATAATTAACTGAAACTAAAATTATATATTTTCAGAATCCGGTATACTTCTGAGCAATTCCGTTATACGAGAAATGAAAAATAATCTAGACTGGTGCGTTAAGAACGCGTATTCGGATTCGGACGACGTTAATTTCGGTCGTTGCATTCTCCATTCCACCTCTATGTCTTGTACCAATCATGTTCAGGGACGAAACTTCACGTTTACGCAGTTGAGACCTACATTTAATTTTGAGAAGGACTTCGCCCGATTGACCGAGCAGGACGAATTCCAGAATTCGCTTTCTATATATCCTGTCTACGATCACATGCTCATTTATAAATTTAACATGTACTTTGCTGCGGTGAGTTTTTCTGAAATAATACGTAAACGAATATAAAGCATTTTATAAAAAATATAAGTTGCATGTGTGATATTATGGAATTCCAAGACATTTGTAGCTTTGTATTTATAACATACGTAATACTTTCAGATAAACGCCATTAAAGTTCACAAACAGATTACCGATATACGCAAGGTAATATCCGCGACCGCTCATCTGGGCCCGTCGAATCAACGTAATGTTTCATGGCCGATTGGAAATCAGCCTGGAAATAGGCCTCTAGGACGTTTCGACGTTTTGCGCTGGTCATACTTCAACGCATCCCACGTTTTCTTCGAGACCGACTTCATTAATATTCAAGAATTGAAGGGCGATACAAAATCCGACATAGACTACGTGATAAACACAGCTGTGAACAATATTATAAACAGATACGATAACAAACTAAACTTCGTCAGATTGCTGAATGGCTATCTAAAGTTCGACGCGTCCAGAGGGATGGATTATATACTCGACCTAGTATTTAGCGAAATGGCCACGGGCAAGGAAGTAAGGAAGCGAATCGAGGTCTGCAAGCCGCTGGGAAAAGTGGAAATCATACCCGTGCCCTACGTGACTGAAAATACAAGGATTAATATAATCGTCACTATCGATCTGAGCAAAAAGCAAGACGCGTTAAACTTTATCGAACACTACGCACAAAACTGCATGGAAAAGAAATGCAAGACCTTCCTCATGATGGTTAGTTCAAGCGCATTTTAAAAAGTATATTATTTTTTCTAATATATAATGTTATATAAATGACTATAGTTTTGTAATAAGTAACATTAAAATATTGTACATTTATATATTATTTATATATATTATATTTTTGTAGGTGCTCTTGTATAATTCAGATTCACCGTCGAAAGGTAGAGGCGACGTCTATCACGAAGTAAAAACGTACATATCTATGCTGAACGAGAAGTACAAAAAGGACCAATCTAAAATTACTTGGCTCTCAATACGATTGCCAACCAACGTAACCTCCATAGATCTGGATCCGATGTTGAAGATTGCTGTGACCGACTTGTGCGCGAAGAAGTTCTCGTCGGAAAGTCTGGTTCTTCTCATGGAGACAGGAACGAAACTGAAAATGGATTACCTAAACAGAGTAAGTATGCGGTATACACTGACGTTAATAATATATTATATATAAATTACTTCAAATACTATTAATTCATTTTATTGTCTGCCAGGTTCGAATGAATACCATTAGCCACTATCAGATATTCAGTCCGATTCCGTTCATTGAATTCCATCCCGATATAATATACACAGACGAAGCGGCCCACGACGAAGTGGATGTCAATAGTAATTATGGCAAATACGACGAGCAGAATTACAACAACATCGCGTTTTACATTAAAGACTACAACGCAAGTATGCATATGTCTTCATCAACTCGTTTCGTAAAGTCCGAATAATTTTGATATGAACAAAATTTGACGCTTTCGTTTAAATGTGTTTCAGTGCGGCAGACAGTCGAGGCGAACATTCCGTTAGTGCGAGCGGACAAGGACATTGTTGCTCTACTAAAACTTTCCAAGCACAGCCCCGTAACTTCCTTGTTCGAGATGTACGTGTCATTCAGCGATATGCATGTATTTCGCGCGATAGAACCGACGCTGAAGATAAAATACAAAGATGTCAACTGTGACGACGCTTCCAACGACAGTATTTTTAAGAGTTGCCTTAAATTCAGAAACAATCACTTGGGTAAACGTAGTCAATTAGCTAGACTGGTATTGGATTACCAGAGCTATCAAACATAAAAAAAAAATGTAGATTGCAGTATGTAAGTTTTACAAAGAGAAATGCTATTTAATGTAATTTATATATTCAGGATGAACGCTTATTCCTGTATAGAGTAAAAGTAGATATGTTTAGAATTATCTACATCTTAGAACAAAAATGTTCAATATACGTCTGTTAGATATATTTTTTATATAGATTTATATACAAGTCTATATATTATGTATTTTATTTATTCATATATTTTAGCCTTGAAATAAATATATTCTTAAGTGATATAGTTAGTTTACTGCTAAAAATAGATCGGATTCTTGAAACTCGTAGAAAAATAATTGCACCTCTTAACAATTACATGCAAACGATACAATGACCATGTATAAAAGTTTTAAGAAATTTGACGAGTTATTAATCGGTAAAATTGTCGATATTAAAATAATATCGTAAAATACAAACTATATATTACAATGTAAAATATAAACTATATATTACAATGCAAGTTACAAATCCAAATACAAGTGAAATGCAAGTACAAGTGAGTTAGACACGTGCAATCAATTTCCTTGGATAATTTTTTTAAAGTCTATACGATATATCACCGTTAATCACTATCCGATTCTGATTCAGATAACTGCAGATCGTCATTTAAGAGATTGTCCGCCGCGAACAACGTGGGTGAGGCAGTTGTACCATTCAAATTACCTAAAAAAAATAGCATTTTTATATATTTAATCTAATTTTAAACAGAAAGTTTAATTGAAGTTTTTAATAAATTTATGAAAAAATGGCACGGAGAAAAGTTACAATCAATATATTTTCTATTCACCATTAATCGCTGTTGGCACTGAGACGTTTTCCGTCTCGTAATCGCTGCTCGAGCTGTCGGAACTCGAACTGCTCGAACTAGAATCGCTCTCCAAGGTGGTCGATTTTGTATTCGATATTGAAGCTGATTGTGCTACAGTCTGCGCAGAGGAAGACCCTGGCATTGATGCTGACGGCGCAAAATCGTCATTATCTGATCCAATCAATGGCAAACTGGCCAGAGTCGGTGCTCCACTCGACGATTGGACGGGCGAAGAGCTGACATTCAAATAAATTATATTATAGCACATTCAATAATTTCATACTTAAGTATTTTGTAATAATAAATCTATTTGTAGAATATTTTATGTGAAACACAAACGAAAAAGGAAACAGTAAGATTACTATTGTATTTGATATAGGCTCCATTCGTTATGCACTGTGAGTAAAAATCTATAGTTTGTTATGTATGCTATAGATTTTCAGTACTCACAGCGAAAATGGATCGCAACCGTATTAATACAAAGTATTTCAGAGGCAGTATCCCAGTCCTCAATTGTGTATCTTGGAATAAGGTGAAAATTACCAAAGTGAGCAAATTCATTAGAATATTTTTGATTACATTGGCCAATATTATAGTTGATTTGCTCATTTTAGTAATTTTCACTTCGTTTTAAAATGCACAATTGACCCCTATATGCTACTGGATGAATGTCATTGTGCAGCTTTTCTTAGATAAGAGCTGCGCAACGCACTGAAAATCCTCAGATCATTGATTGACTAAGAATTTTGGATATTTCTGCAGCCAATTAACATGCTGGAAAAAATACGTCGAATGTAAAGGACAATAAAATATTAGTCTAAAATTAGAAAAAAATATTTAGCAGCAAGCGGCAGAAGCAATGCAGTTAAAAGCAGCATAAAAATATTAAGCAGAAGCAAATAAAAAAAATTGTATTCTCTACCATCATTTTTTACAGCTAACTTAAAGAAAATTTTTTTAAGGATTAATGCTCGATTATCGGGTAAATTTTTTTTAACGTACGGTGATGTCCGTGGCGAATTCTGTTTGGGATGCAATTGCAATGAGGGTTCCCTCTTTTTCCCACTAATAACTTTAGTTCTCCCATTCGCCCTGCCATATGTGGGACTTCTCTTAACCTCAACGGGCATAGAAGTATTATTACTTTTTTTAGGTTCCGCTCTACAAGAAACAAGATTCACAATAATATCTGGACAAGACACAACAACGATAAATAGCGGATCGCGTAATAAACGTACCGTGTCTTCTTAACCTGGATATTCGCGCTCAGCTTCTCCAACGTAACCTCCCCGGTGGCCTTGTCGATGACTAGAACGTACTCCTTGTTGTAGGGCCTCTGCGAGCCCTTGAACACGGTGTGAGGGGTGCCGGCGCCGTCCAGATGTGGCACGGTGACTGTTACCGTGTTGTCCGAGCCCACGTCGACTCTGGCCTCCTTGGAGTCGTCGACGCTGGCGGGCTTGAAGTCATCTGGAAAAAAATCCACACAATTAAATGTGCTCCGAGATCAGACGTATTCGGTCGGGAAAAGTTTTGCATTCTCATCTGCGGAGATTCTCGCTTCGCTTCGGGCTACAGATTCTACGTGTCGTCGAAGCGAAGGACCGAGACTGCCGTTCTGTGTTCTCTACTATGGTCTCTTGATCCCGAGAGATCGCAACTTACATTTCAAGGTGTGAAACTTGGAGCTGTTGCTCGTGAAACTGGGCCCGAGTTTGAGCTCGCGGACTTCAGCTCCTAAACCAAGTCGCTCGACCATGCTGGCACTTTGCATCACCACCGATCTTTTTCTCTTTGTAGTCCTTCCTGCCCGTTGTTTTTAATAAAAAAATAAGCGGAGTAGGTGAACGCATACAGAGCACCGATAGCCTTCTTTTCCGTTTCCCTCTCGTTATTCAGTAGCACTCTGGAAATATTGAGCTAAATATGGTATGTAATTTTAACGCCTGCACTTATGTTGACTATGGACCGCTTTGGATTTTCTCGGACCCTCTTCGATGCTTCGAGGCTTCGAGCTCTCTCCGGAAATGACGTGCGAAACGACAAACGCGCGCCACCGGCAAATATACAGACAAATTGGAGTGTGCCAAAACTTTACTCGTATACAGAATTGTGACCTTTGCAATTTTTATTAGAACAGTCTAAAAGAATATAAAGATATGATTGACTATCATGTACGCTATCTAATCTTTTTACTTTTTACGTACCATAGGACATGGTACGCGCGTTACATGAAAAATCTCTGCCATATGGGACGGCACCCTAAGTGAGGTTCGAATCTTCGCTAAGTGGGGTTTGAGTCTCCGCTAAGTGTTCGAATCTTCGCTGTGGGGTTTGAATCTCCGCTAAGTGGGGTTTGAGCCTGCTGATAGGATCGTAAAACGATCGTCGTGCTTGTTATCCTCCGCGATACAGTCAAAATGGTTGATAATGTCGTCTTCTTCAATTACCTCCGGGCCCACTTGACAATCACGAAAATTTGCCTTTGGCCGACCGTCTTAAATAATATCTTGTCAGTGTCCATTTCTATCAATAGAATTAATTTTAGTCTTGATTTAATTTATCCCTTTTTAGAAATAGAAGAAGATAAAAAGTAATCAATTAAATCAAAATATAAAGTTGATATCTACTGGAAAATGGAGATATCTGAATTTAATCAATTTAATTCAAATTTATGTTAATCCTACAATACAACCAATAAGCGCGCCTCGTCGTTCAACGGCTGCGGACGCGGACTCGAAGTAACGGTGGAAGCTGTCGCGCGGGGAGGGTAGTTTGGCGGGTTTCGTTTCGTTGCGCGTCTCAGCGCCCGACGTGTGTATGTGCATACTCGACTCGTCGTTGGCGTGGTGTGCAATTGCGTTCAGCTGTGTGCGTGCGTGTGCGTCGCGTTCCCGGCGGGCGGACATACGTACGGTCCGCGCGTTATCGCCGCGCGCGTTAAACGCGTGCTTTCTCACATAAAGTTGCATAGAAAATCTCTCACGGTCGCGGCCATGGTGCAATTACGCTACACCCGTAACCTGTTCCTGCGCGGGATCTGCATCATATATCTGTTCGCGTTCCTCAGCTTCTACGTGCAGATTCCAGGTGAGGCGCCGCATCTCTCTCTCTCTTTCTCTCCTCTCGGCCGTATCTCCGGTATGACCAACTCCGACCGATATATCGCAGTTTTTTTTCCCTCCCTGCGTGGGCACGGGACTCTCCCCTCCCCCCCGTTATTCCTCCCCGCGCTCTTAACACTCAGGAAAACTCGCGCTCGATGCCTGTACCCTGTGTCCCTGTATCAAGGGAATGACATACGTCGATTAGCGACGCTTGTCATACATACACGGTACTACAGGAAGATAACAATCCTTCGCATGTATTCCGGTATATTCGAGCGATTACGTGTCTTCGTGGCGTTATGTAACGGAATTGTAATGCTTACGTTGTGAATCGATTGTAATCTTGGAGTTCGATTTTAGAACGTAAAAAATGTACACATCTTATTTCAGGGTATACATGTAAATTTTTGACAGATTTAGAATGTATAGCATTGCGATGTTATTAATTAATAATATATCGAACAGGATTGTACGGCGACAATGGGCTTCTACCAGCCAGGACGCAGCTGGATCTCAAGGCGCGCGGGCCGTTACTCAATAAAATGAAGCATAAGCCGACGTTCTTGTGGCTCGCGCCATATCTGGGCTTAAACGTTGATTATATGCTGGACGTACTGTCTCTTCTCGGAGTCATTCTCTCCTTTGCAGGGTACATTTAAAAAATAGATATTAATATTAAGAAAATATTTTTATGCGGAAAAATATACAGTCTATCCAGAAGTGATAAATTTCATTATGTTTCATGAATATAAATATTGTAATTCTCATCATGAAATTATAACGAGAGATCATTAATACTCAAATTACATTTGATTGCAGATTTGTCTCGCAGAAATTCTGCATCGTGCCAATATTCGCAGGGCTATGGTCTCTGTATTATTCTGTATACCAGATTGGTCAAACATTTATGTTCTTCCAATGGTGAGTTCCAAGATTTCTGCATTATTTATATAATTTAGATTTTTCAATTTTGCCAAATCTCTTTAGTGTATTTGTCACTCAACTATGTTTCTTTGTATTATAATGAAGAAATAATTAAAATGTATGCTATTCATACATACATTTGTGAATAGATTATATAATTCATTATGTGAAAATAATTGAATTGCTTGATGATTAAAATTTTATGTATGCATTTGACTTGCAGGGATGTTCTATTACTGGAGGTTGGATTTCTATGTATATTTGTGGCACCAATTTGGTATTCTTATCGCGGCAGAATAAGCGACGGGGTAACTCTCTGGGCTGTACGTTGGTTGCTTTTCCGCCTTATGTTTGCCAGTGGAGTAGTAAAACTTACCTCAGGCTGTCCAGTCTGGTGGAAATTAGATGGTAAAAATTATCTTCACGGAATCTGATATACATAAAAGTAATGTTTACGCACTATAATTACGGAAAAATTTTTTTAATATGTTTTGTATATAGCTCTAAGTATCCATTTTGAATCGCAATGTATACCAACTCCTCTGGCGTGGTACGCGCATCATTTGCCAACGTGGTTGCTTCGACTGTCCACCGTTTCTGTAAACGTTATCGAGATGGCTGTACCACTTTTATTTTTCTTCCCGATCAGAAACGTTAGAATAATTGCATTTTATTTGCAGGTATGTAATTGTCTCTCAATGTCAATTGTCTCTCTGTGATAGAATATTTATAAAATTATGTTGAATAGTTAATTGGGATTAGCGGTTTTTTTTATTACAATACTTTAACATTGCTGTTCTAGGTGATTCTACAAGTCTTCATTATTGCTACTGGAAACTACAATTTCTTTAATTTCCTTACGATTTGTCTATGCATATCCTTACTGGACGATCAGTTCTTTTACAAACGAAAATCTAAAAACGATAAGTCTCATGTTAAGAATTATGTCTCTGCACTAGCAACTATATTAGTTTATGGAGTAATAATATACGGGACATGTGTTTTATACGGTCTTAAGATAACAGACAATTGGACCATTGAATCTAATATCGGTATTTATCGTTGTTTTATCGATAATTAATAATAATTTGGTTTTAGCATTTGCATTGATCATAATCGTATTTTCATTTTTTTAGCATTTACACCGGAGGAATTTGATCGCGTTCTATCTCGCACAATACTATTTGCAATATATCTCGGTTTAGTATCCCTCGGATTGACGTTAAAGGAACTGATACGCGTTGTATTTTTCACAAAAGGGATGTATGATAAACTAAAAACAACGATATCGACAATTTTGTACTTCACGATTGTATGCTGCATCTTTGCTGTGAGTCTTGTAAGTATATCGGACAGCTTTTAAGCCTGGGTTGCTGAAAATTCGGCACGACGGCACGTACGCAACATGTTATATACATATGAAGCACGAGGTAAATGCCCGCAGGTACCATATACCGCGTTGCATCAATCGCACAACTCGACGATCGCACAACTCGTTAACGTGAAGCAGATTCATGCGAAAGTGGAGCATCTTCATATAGTGAACAGTTACGGACTGTTCCGCCGTATGACGGGAGTCGACGGTAGACCTGAAGTTGTAATAGAGGGAAGCGACAGCATTGAAGGACCCTGGAAGGAGTACGAGTTTTTATACAAGCCAGGAAATGTCAACAACTCGCTACCATTCGTTGGTGAGATATTTTCACATGTCAAAACATTTTAATGTCAATACATTATTTCGTTTTATTAATAAGCTAAGCACGTTTGTGTAATAAAGGGTAAATTTTTCTTTAACAATATTTTTTTTTTCCAGCACCCCATCAACCTCGTCTCGATTGGCAAATGTGGTTCGCTGCTTTAGGTACATATCATCAAAATCCGTGGTTAATGTCGCTAGCCTATCGTTTATTGAGCGGGCAGCCCGAGGTATTGGCTCTAATGAATACTGTCGAACATCCATTCCGAGACAGACCCCCGAAATACATTAGGGCTAGTCTTTATTATTATCATTATACGCCGTCGAGTCAGACGTGAGTACTAGAATCTTATATATAACGTGTATATCACGCTATATACATTGAATTTATAGACGAGAATAACATGTAATTTATTCCTATTCTTACGCATACAGATCGAATGCTTGGTGGACTAGAGAAAGAATAGGAGAGTATTTCCCGATATTCAGTCAGAGTCACCCTCCGCTTATCGAATATTTGACGAAAATGAAGATTCTTCAAGAGAAGCCGGCTGTCAAGGTCACAAATGAACCACTCAAATTAATTCTGGACAATCTTAGATCTTTGGTCAGTAAAGTAGAACCGAGTATAATTTTGTGGGGCGTCTTCACAGCCGGTTGCGCGATATTCATAACAGGTTACGGCAATTCGGTATCGAAAAAGAAATAGTTATTCTCTGTGAGCGATAATCATCATAAAAACTTAATAAGTTACAAAACTACAAGGTATTGAATATTAACAAGATATAAGATGCAAGCTGTAAAATATACGTATACCAGCTGAATAATTATTTGCATACAGTGTTAACGTAGTGACACAAGATACTTGTTTTGCATGTAAAATATAACGTCTGCATTTCTTCCATCTAATAGATCTCTGTTAAACAATATTATGTCGTGTATAATAACATAATAATGCATTAAATATAAATCTACTGAGATAACTCGTAAGAAGAGAACAGGGAAAAGCATTTTATTTTATATAGAATTAATATTTACTTGAGAATTTGACGTGTCCGATAAATGAATATGTTCAAAGTATGTATTCCACTTACACTGTTGATGTGAATCTGTACTTTGACGTTTACTTATTACAAAAAGTATGTGATATATGATTTGTAATATTCAATACATATATATATATATATTTTGTATGTATGTATAAATCGAATCTCTCGTTTCATATATTATAAATTCATTATGTATTATGCATCGCTCAGTATAGCATTAGTTTTGCTGATTTTAAGAATTATTAAGTATATATAATATGAAACAAGAGAAAATATATCCATCATAATGAAAATAAGAAATGAAAAAAAAAGATAAAGCATATTTTCTTATAAAACTCGTTGCTATTGCATTTTTTCTATTTTTTTTTTTTACAAATATTACATGTTTCATGGCATTATTTACACATATAGATTGTAAATAGGTTTCGATAAACGTGCATTTGTTTAAAAGTACATCTGTCAGTATAGCCGTTCTTATGGCCTTCCCCTAAAATCTATAAATTTTATATCCTACTTACAATTATACTAGATGTGTTTGTAACATGCGCATGCATATATACTTAGAATATATGTATTCTAAACCTTTCCAGACTCTTGTTAATTATCACAGTTCATGTAATACATTATGAATTATTTTCAGAAAACTATATTTGTAATAAATAAAAGCTAGTCTTCTTTTCTACGCCTACTTTACTTTAATATAAAAGAAAATGTAAATTAAAAAAGTGTATCAGATGTTTGCAGATACAAATAAAACTTTAATGCTTCTTACAAATATTTCCATACTGATTCGGGAACGGTATCGAGAGTTATGCGTTATTTTGCAGTTTTATTTTTTTTGCGAGTTACTCTGCAACTGCGTGCTCTAGGTAGATTTTCCGTTGTAGGATCCGAGGTGGGTTGAGAATCGTTATTAACCGAAACGTTTGAGTCATCTTTTTTACTTCGTTTCAAATGAGTCATATCTTCGTAATCTGCACAGTTTTTAAATTGTCTTTTCCTTGAAATAGTCGAAAGAATAACTTTTCGAGGCTTCTCCTTTTGTACAAATATCTGGTCGGGTCCCTGTACATACAACGTGGTTCTCGACAAACCTATGGGAAGTTTAAACAATTGCAGTAGGCGAGTTCGCAGTAACTGGTATTCGGCACTCTCTGTTTGCACAGGTCGTCGAGAATTCGTCACCGCTTGTTTCGACCTCGAGTTACGTTCGAACGACGCAATCAGTTTACATCGCGCGTGGGACTCATATTGACAGTCGTACAGTAATTTCCAGAGAAACAAGTTCTTCAAACCTAATAAAGTCGCTTGATTTGGCCGAATTATGTTATCCATCGCTTCTTCGTTCTCCTCTTTAACATTGTTACCGACTGAAGTTTCCCTCAATTTATTTAATTCCGTTTGTTCGTAATCTTTTACAGTTATCTTCGAACTCGTATCCAGCTTATCACGTTTCGACGAAGCCTTATTCGAAGGGCTTCTTCTAGCACAAGAAGAGATACATTTTAATGACTTATACAAATTTACATTTTGCTGGTAATAATCACGGTAATCGCTTATTAAGAACTGACCAAATTTGCGAAACTGCATTTCCTCGTCGCTGCTAACGAAATGAAGTGTACAGGCAGTTACATGGAAATCTGCGGGCACGTCAACAAGAAATTTTTTGCTAACGTCCAAATCGTAGTCTATAGACGTGTCGTTTCGTTTTTGTTGAATTTTTTTGACCCTTACGTATCCGTCAAATGGAAGTGGCGGTATAAAGAAATCACCTTGACTAACTTCCGAGGCGTAGCCAAACATTCGCGTTCTATAATTCTCCGTTATTTCGTCGTTCCGTACACCGACGCTTCTTACGTTCATGTGTTCCTTTAAAGAGACCAAAAGTTCTTTCTCTTTGTCATTTAACTGCACGTATTTCAGAAAATCAGACGGAATATCAAGATTGGCGTTCAACAAATTCAACGTGCTGTACAATCTTCTAGTATCGCGCGCAAGCTCTTCGATGTCGTAAGGTTCCTCTTCAGAATTATTCGGTTTAACTAAAGGTGGAAAACAAAGATTCTCGTACAACCTTAATTCGATATCAAGAATATTTACAGTGTGTTCCATTTCGTGCAATTTAATTTTATTATGAACTTTTTCCGCGCCCTTGGACAATTTTTTATTCCTTATGTATCTTCTGTTGCGCATCGTGGCGGGCGGTCTGGGTATATTTTCAATACTGACACCTTTCATTACGTACTTCAGTAATGCGTTATACCGATGTCTCACCTGGGTCCTCGTCTTGTTGGAAAAATACTTGGCTATCTTGGACCAATTGTTATTGAATTTCAAGTGCAGATTAATTAATGTCACATCGTCGTTGAGCGACCATAAATTCCAATTGTTGGAATTCATGTTCAACATCACCGTATTATAACGCTCTTGGAGTTGTATCGAGGTCCGATTTGGCATTATGTTGCTCGAAATCTTACAGAAGTTCTCGCCGTACTTCTGCACCGCCTGCAGAAGGGTTATCGTTTCCGTGTAAGTGAATCTGCCTTTTCGCAAATGCGGCGCTTTTCTGTACATCCATCGTACGTAAATCTGTTGCTTGGTTCTGTGTCGCAGGTGATTGGCGACCTCGGACCAGGGGATGTAGTCTCCGACTTTGACCGCGTTCATTATCTTCAAGAGATGCTTGTCCTCCTGCCTGGTCCAGGCACGCCCGGCTAACGGCACCTTCTTTATGGTGTTGTATCTAATGAAACATTGATACGCGCTACGATTTGTTCCCAGTTTCTCCGTAATAGCGTCCCAATTTTGAAATCTATATTCTCTCACGCACCTCACCAATTTCTTATCCTCCATGCTCGTCCATTCGCTTTTCCGGAAGTCGGGGTGCAGGTAGATATTCCACATGGACCTGCATTCGCCCGGTGAATGTTTATTGATGAAAGTCATAACAGAAATCTTGTACCAATCGAATTCTCTCTCACCCAACGCGCCTACCTTCTCGTCGAAATTTATGGGGAGCTCAAATTTCATTTTCTTAGCTGGATCATTAGGCTCATCGGCCTCTTTTTCATTCGATTCGGTAAGTTGATCGTGTATGGCTTCTAAAAGTTTGTCTCTGTCTTTACTGGACCAGCGATTCGGCTTCTTTACAGACAAAGGGCACAGCTCACCACGGGCTTCCTTCAGTTTGGTGTCGTAGTTTTTTGGCGCGCTGAAGTTATCCTTGTCCTTGAAGTACGGAATACCGGCGTTGCTGAGTGCCAATTTGGAATATGAGCTCAACTCCCTGGAGTTGGTCCTCTCGTCCAGTAGCTTTATCTTCTGCTCACACTCCTCGAGCATTGCAGTCAATTTCCTCTTGGCTATCGTCAAGCCCATGATCAACTTCAAATTAATCTCGTAAGCGTTCAGAGACTCGTCGATGTGCTGATTGTTACCGAGATACTCGGAGTAGTCGACCTCAAGATCGTTTCCCTCGAGGTCGACGTCCGACGAGACGTCCGATCGATGGCCGCTGCAAACATATTCCTGGGAATTTGTATTCGTTTTCAAGGCTAAAGCTTCATCCAGAGCCTGGATATCAGCTAGGATGTCTGAGTCGTCGGATTCGCTCATGGCGAACGATGTACGCCTCTTGTCTGCCTCTCACTCACTGTGGCAAATAAATCAAACAATGTACAATGTGTCTGAGTAAAAGTTTGAAGGGAAACGAAGGTGAAACTTACGTATCGGTGGCTCCTACAATCGGGCATACAAAACAACAAAGCTAAAGTCCTCAGAAAGTTCTTTCACGCAACATTGAGCAGTACAAACAATGCTACACGCAGTATCGTTATTAATCAAAGTAAAATCCTGTACATTCATGGCAAACACTTTTTCCATGTCTCTTTGGCACTGTGGAAAATAAAAATTAACATTTACAAATTTAATCACTGGACTGATACAGTTAATGTGACCAAATATTTTTAAATCAAAAGTGGGATAACTTTATTTTGGGAGGAGGGGGAGAGTGTGTGGATAAAAAGTGCAATAGCAATTTATTGAAAAAATAATAAATTGTTCATATTTTGGGCGGGAGTGAAATAATTACCTCGAAAACGAGGCGGTCTGATCACATTAGAATAAAGTATATTGTCTGATAGGACATTTAATAAAGAGAAAACTTACGTGGCTCGATTGAGAGAATGGCGCGAAATAGCGTTGACATCCAGGAAGTCACTTTGTGCGTCCCAAAATAAATGACACCCTGTAACGTACGATTTTGTAAATCAAAACAAGAAAATCCTAGAATCGCAGAGCGATCGCTTTTGTTCGCTTCGTCCATTCACAGCACGAATTACTATGGCGCAGAGAAGCACGAGTCCCTTTCTCCTCTCCTCTTCAATCAATATATCCGCTACCTTGGGAACGAATGTCCCGCTGTTTCCTTCTCGAATTCCGACACAAGATTGGGCGAGATCGACATCGACGGCGGACCGAGCGCGTACCGTTGCTCGCTGTTGCTCGCCGCACAATGAATCGTGCGCATGTAAGCGGCGCAGGCATAGCAGACGCCGTTTCGTCTCCTCAGTCACGTATACGTCTCACCGCGGATGAGGTGCGATCGTCGGGTTCTGCGCGCCCGGTTGAGAGACGAAACGGGAAATATTGAGTTTAAGACCTGGACGAGATGAGGTAGAAGAGACGTCGGCGTCACGAATGACAGACGCGGCCTTCGTTAACGAATTCATCGCCGCGTCCCGCGGCTGGCTTTACTTCGCGCGCGCCATAACGCGTCCGTCGTTGCGAACGGTTAATTCGCTCATCCGGTCTTTGCGGAAATTAAGAGGTGACATTTCACGCGCTATCATCGACACGAGAGGGAATACCGAAGGCTCATAGTTGAGGAACTTGAGGCCTCCGAATAGGCGAGTGTTTAACTCTGGTGTTGTGTCGCGAGTGCCACATTCTGCGTCGCAACAACACAAACACGAGCGTGCGAGGCTCGGTGTCACGTGGCCGGTGACGTAACTTCGGAAACGCTGTACCGGCGGGTGTTTTCGAGTCGGGCGGTTTTCCAAAATTTCAGGCCGCGTATCGAGAAGCGAGATCGGGGAGCAAGAGACACCGTTCTTTCGTTGATCCCGAATTCGATCTGTGAAGGTGATATTTTTTTACACGAAGGATTTGGACAAATTTTTTTTGCGCGCGCACGCATACATACGACGGCGCGGAGTGGCGCGGCACGGCGCGGCGCGCCAGCCAACGGACGATTTTGACATTCGGCCGGAAGTAGCGCACATATGTTTCCGACGTCGCCGCTGCGGAGGCGCGGCTGCGCAGTCGACCCGCGCCCCGAATATGTCGACGTGCGAGGAGCGGCAGCGGCGGGCGGAGTGATGTATGATACGCTGACGACTGTTATCATGATTACCGTCGTGGCGATATCCCTCGGTTGAGGAACGGCGCGCCCCGTGGTCGATCCTAAACAACGTGAGGAGAAGACCGTCCGTTGCCGAGCAACCTGCCGCGTCGCGGGATACAGATCTCGCTCTTTCCCTCTCTCGCGCTCTCTATCTATCTCTCGTTCTCTCGCGCTCTCTCTCTCTTTCCTAGACAGTAGTAGTAGTAGTAGTAGTGGTGGCGGCGGCGGCGGCGGCGGAGAAGGAGGAGAGGTCCAGCCGCGCGAGAGAGCGCCGCGCCAGATCGCCGTGCCGTCGTACCGTATCGTACCGAGTACCGTGCCGTGCCGTGCCGTTCCGGGGGCGGTGATCGGCGGGCTCGGCGGAGCGGAGCGCAACGCGGCGCAGCGCTAGGGGCCCTATGTCAAATCAACGTCGGCGACGTCGTGGACGAAGCGCGCCAGCATGAAGAAGCTATTCTCCAAGATCGACAACACGTCGAAGGAGCCCAACAGCTACCTGGGGAAGGTGTTCACCGTGGGCCGCCACACGGTCACCGTCGAGGAGGTCCTGGCGGAAGGTACGCGCGGCCCCACCACGTCGGTCTCTCGCGGCCGACCTAACGCGCACCTAAACGGGCGCGTCGCACTTCCCTCACGCGGGTTTCGTCCGCTCTCTCGTGCGCCCGTATTTCAGCCTCCGGTGGACGAGAGCGTGCGAGAGAGGATCCCCCCTGTTCTATTTTACACCGCAGCGCCTTGCGCCCGCCCTCCCCCGTCTCGCCTGGCTGTGTCCCGCTTTTTTTCTCTCCTCTCCGTCCTCCCGGTCCTCGTCCTCGCGACGGTACGAGAGATAAGCAACGCGGCGGTACGATCTCGCGCTCGCATCCGGGGCGGACGGTTGGCTCGTGGACGTCATTAAGCTCGTTAGCGAGACCAGAAGTCTCGATGCGCCGACCGCGAAGTGCGCGTTTCACGCCGTCGATGAACTTCGCGGTCCCGCGAGGAGTGTCAGTTTCGTCACTCCGAGATGAATGTGTCAATTATCTTTCGGACGTTTCGGACAGCCAATGCTGCGAGAAAAATATGCGCGAAAAATCTAATATTTTGCTCATGAGCGTCACAGAGTTAATACCTAATTGTTACTTTTCAGGAGTTTTTTGACACGTCAATTGTGAAATGCGCGTTTCGCACGCCGTTAATAAAATCGGGATCGTCGATTATCTTCCGGAGAGCTATCGCCGCGGGATTTGCACCCGAGAAACCTTTTGAAATTGTCGCATCGCGTTGCAGAAATGAAAATGCCAGATGATAGGGTTTTATTGTTACATGTCGATATGTCCAGAGCTGACAAACAGAAATTGATTGTCCAATCAGTAAATTTACTTTGAGATAAAGCCCGAGTATCGTAGCTTTTATTACCACGCTTGTAACTGTATCTGTGTCAAGTTACAATCCACAACATGTTCCACCAGTAACCTTGTGTGGATATTTCATATATTTTTTATTCCGATTAGAATATACTTTCTTTATTCTGTTTTCAATATATATACGATTATAATTAAATAATAAACATTTTTATTTCTTTTCTTTCTGTCTCTTCCTTTCCGTGGTGTACTTATCCCGTGTAATGCATCTGTTGTTTTTACAGGAGGATTTGCAGTTGTGTTTTTGGCAAAAGCCTCAGGTGGACGGTATGCACTTAAACGGATGTATGTCAACAATGAACATGATCTCAACGTGTGCAAGAGGGAAATTCAAATTGCTGTGAGTATTTTCGTGAATAATGAGAGTGCTAGTTAGTATTAATTAGTAGCGCTAATTAATTTTCTTGCTTTATAGAAATATGTAATGTCGCGATTAAAGGCTGAATGAATTATTTCTATTTACAGAGCAACCTGAGCGGTCATAAAAATATTATAGGATATGTAGATAGTAGCATAAGTCGCATCACCGGAGAGATACACGAACTTCTGCTTTTAATGCCTTACTGTAAATCCCAAGTTCTTCAAATGATGAATAACAGGTTAGGAGTGGCCCTTTGTATCATTTCTATTTTGATAATATTTTGGCATTTTTTTTGTGTATTTATTTATACACATAGGTATGTGTAAATAAATATATATATGTCACACTTGCATTTAATTGCAAAATATTGCCAGTCTTATTGCTATCTTCACTTATCTAATGATATTGAGATTTATGGCATACATTATACAATTTTCTCATTTCTAGGTTGCAAACAGGTTTCAGTGAATCGGAAGTTCTGCAAATTTTTTGTGACGTTTGCGAAGCCGTATCGAGGTTGCATCATTGTCAAACTCCCATAATTCATAGAGATCTCAAGGTGAACTACTTAACGGGCATTACGTAACGACGTCGTCGGAAATATCTTGAGCTACATTTAATTGTCTCGCGATAGGTGGAAAATATACTGCTCGCCGACAGCGGTCATTACGTTCTGTGCGATTTTGGATCCGCGACGGGAAAAGTACTCAATCCCAGCGTCCACGGTGCCGCGATGGTCGAGGAGGAGATCAAGAAATACACCACTTTAAGCTACAGAGCACCGGAAATGGTCGACATGTACTGTGGAAAACCTATTACTACGAAAGCAGATATTTGGGTAATGTGTATTGTCTACTTTTTTTTTACATTTACGTGTGCATCGCGCACACATAAAAATCGTAAAATTTAAAAAATTTTAGCAGCGTTGCGAGTCTTTTTTTTACATAGAATCCCCGTCTTTCAGGCTTTAGGATGTCTGTTGTATAAACTCTGCTATTTTACACTACCGTTTGGCGAAAGCACGCTTGCCATACAATCCGGAAATTTCACTATACCGGATAACTCGAGGTATGTGAAAAATCGCTGATACAAATTGCTCGCATACTCAGTTACTTAACGAACGAATAAAATACATGAATAATATGATTACATACATGTCGAGTAGTTAAGTAGATTAGATATACACATAAAATATTTTTACGTTACAGATATAGTAAAGCTCTTCATTGTTTAATTCGATATATGCTTGAGCCAGATCCTGATGTACGTCCTGATATTTATCAAGTTTCCGTAATTGCTTTTCAAATTCAGGGCAAAGAGTGCCCTGTGCAAAATTTACACGTACGTAGATTAGATAATATTTTTATAATTGTAGTAGTATTATTATATTTAAAAAATCCCGCATGTTTCTTATGTAAAGGTTTTTCTGGTCAAATTGCTTGTTTTGATATGTTGTAGTTTTTGTAATTCTAAACAAATGCCTCTAATTGCCACGATCACAGAAAATCAAAAGGTAATGGAATGCGAAGCTCTGAAGTTATGGAATTTGAATGTTTGCCATATCTCTTTCAGGTAACTTTTAGGTAACGCAAATGCCTTCTTTCAGATATAGTGGGTACGTGAATATATGAAATACCTGCATATAAGGGCTCACTTAAGTATATTCATTACACCTAAAAGAAGGTCATCAAGTTATCTTAAAAAATTGGCACACTCAAATTGTATGACTTTAAAAGTTTATACTTCTTGATTTTCTGTGATTGCAGCAATGAAAACATTTGTTTAAGATACCTACACATATCTCAAAACGGAGCAGTTTGACCGAGGAAACGTGTGGGGTGCTTTATATCAAATCAATTATATACTGCTTTATAGTAATTTTGCTCTCTCGAATTTATCTTTACAGAAAGTCCCAACCCCGACGATAGATTCATTACCATGCCCACCCATGGAATCCGAGAATATTAAAAGATCGGCATCTGTAAAAACTCCGAAGCCCACGCCTATAGCGACGACAGTCGAGGGCACGTCGGTGACGCCGAGGCAGAGACCGAAGGGGCAAGCCGTTAGTACGGGACCGATCAGTTTGGGCGGTCAAATCGTAGGACAAATATCGGGCCAAGGAAATCAGACGCAGACTACACCGGCGAACTCTATCTCTTACGTTCAAGTAAGGCTAACAATTCGCAAACGTACTCGATATCTCTGTACTTGAGATGCACGAAAAATACTTGCTTAGATACTTTAGATGAATAGATTACCTTTGGCAAAATGCTTAATTAATGTAATCATTTCGTTCTGTCAGGTATCGCCACACGTTTGCACCCCCAGTCAAAATATTCCCTTCGGCCAGTCGCAAGGACAGCCGCCGCAGTACGGACAGTCGCAAAGCCCGATGATCAGTCACTCCCCTTTGACGCAGCAGTCACCCGTTACCGTTCAGGATAAAAATGCGTTTTACTTCGATTCGAGGCAGCACGATTCGAGAGCTACGACGAACGTGAACGAGAAGAATTTGGAGGCTCTATTTCCGCCGTCAGGTAATTCTGAGTGATGGCAGGCACGCTTTAAGCTCCACGGAGTAAAAGCAAAAAAAAAGTGATCGATCGATTTTTCTCAATACTTTTACAGGATATCCGGATCCATTCAAGGACGACACGAGAGCGATGCCGCCACCTGCCAAGATACCACCTCCCGTTGCACCGAAACCCAGCAAGATTCTTCCGAAACTGTCCAATCCTAGTTACCCGTCGTCGTCGTCCAAGTATCCGCCAGTCACCTCACTACCGTCGAAATTGTCCATTCCGACGGGGCCTAACATGGGGACTCCGCTGACGGTGACGCCGCCGGCTTTACCGAAGCCGGTTAATAAGACAGAAAGTTTGAGTCAAAATATAAGTTCGAGCATATCCCCGCCTGACAGTCCGACACTGTCGTCCTCGCGTCACAGGAGGAACGTCAGTGACACGAGTGCTTTTAACAAGTAAGTCGTTATTTAAAACACTGTCTCCCTTTTGTATCCATGTTCAGTAATTCTTTCAATTTAATGCCGCGTCCGAGGATCTTGAGAATCTTTATCTTATTTCTCTTATCAATATACTTTTATTTATTTTACAATGGTCATTTCGATTTACAGAGCATTTGCAACCGAAACCACTCAATTCTTAGCGCCATATGAGGCTTCGGTCAAGCCGCGTACCGAAGATACGACCACTACGCCACCAGAACTTCCGAGTGATACAAGGCCTTGCATAGCAACTAGTGCCTCGCATGTACGTGTTGTAAGTACACGAAGCGCACAATTTTATGTTTATTTTTGTTAAACGGCGTTCGGTTTGTCTACGAAATATGAATCGGGTTTTTATATTATTATTGGAAAAGTTTTTTGTTCTATATTTACAATAGTTTAAAATTATATCTAACATTATACGATGGTTTTTTTTTAAATTGAAAAATTATTTGTGATACAAGTAAAATAAAAATTTCCTTCAATAAAAGATTGCGTAGATTATACGAGAAATATAAAATTTAATTTTTACTTATTTAGAATCTCGGTTTTTTAAATATTTTTATATTATTTTATGCACTGCACTATCATTTACATTAGTGATCCCTCATCTTCAAGTAACTGATACTGAAGGTTGTCGCTTGAAAATAGTTAATACTTAAAAAAAACTTGCCTACATTTTTATCAGGGCGAACTTTCAAGCCTAATGGGATCAGAGGGGAGATCGCTGAGCGCAGATGTAGCGGCGTGGAATCCGTTTGAGGATGTACAACCTTTTAATCAGTTAACGGAAGATCATATCTTCGGTGCTGAGTTTGACAAAATAAGAAGAGGGAGCAACACCAGTATCAGCGGGGTGAAAAGTCGCGAAAGTCTTGTTATGACGTATACCGAATTACCGGAAGATCCTTTTGAATCTGCACCCTTTAGCCTACCAAGTAAGCTTTCGTCAAAGTTCTATATTAGTCCCAAAAAAGTACGAACATAAATACATTTTATTATGAAGTTGAAATACATCTATTAACGTTTTAATTCTTCCTTAGCAGGGAAGAAGAATAAAATCGGGTCAAAGACTGCTGCTATTGCTGGAGGTAATGCATAAAATCCTTCTTACACTATCCTTCATCATCTTTCTCTTCCACTCTTGTTCCTACATTAATCTATTAATCTATACTTGATTTGAAAACCATTCGCTCGCTGTCTTAATACTTGGTTTCTTCCGTTTGCCATCATCGCTACGTGGTTTTAAGCAGTAGTTATAACCATTGTCTTTCGTCTTTTCTTTTTAGTCTCAGTTGTATATCAAGTATACCAAGACAGTTCATGAAATTCGATATTTAATTCAAGTAATGAATTTCCGAAGAACTATCCATTTAAAATGTTGAGATTTTTTTCTTTTTATATACATACTGTTGAATATACATATATAGCTTTATTAGTTTAACGTTTGTTTCTTATAGATCGCTTTATAAATGTAATTTACAATATAGATACTTTAATTCGATCAGTTTTATTTTTAAATATTTTAATATCGAGTTATTTTAGAAGAAACAAAGTACTAGATGTAATCTTGTTATACAACTAAGACTGTCTTTAAAATTTCATATTTCAGCTTTATATACATATATACATACAAACAAATTAGAGAAATATTATTTTAATATGAATTATGAATTTAAATCATCACAGTTTCGTAACAAGTGAACTTAATTGTTTTTATTTTTATTACGTAATATTTTTTAAATTTAATTTCGTATGCAATTGACAAAATTATTAAATGAGATTACGAGACGATCAGCAGAAGTTATGTGGGCACGTCACGTTTTGAATTACAATAACACATGTGAGGATAGATTAAGACTAATAACAGAAGTGAAGAATGATCATCTAAAATTAGAAAAATTTTGTCCCTACAATTAGAAAATAATATCTATTACAATTGTTCTTTTTATCAATTTTTTTCTCCTTGGAGAGAAATATATTATTTTCAATATTGCTCACAACAGAATGATCATTGAATAAGATTACAGATAGCAATGTATTTATACAAAATGTTTGTGGACAATAGATGTAGATAAAAATGCTGAAATAACGATATCGGCATGTTACGCTTTTCTGCACTTCCATGTACATAAATCTTAATTTTCATTAATAGAATTTGAAGTAACGCGATGAAAGGAAAATAATGTTTTCAAAGTAATATATAAAGTAAATGTTTTCTCTCTCAATTTCTCTCTAATTAGTATTACATGCAAAACTTGATTTGTGATATAATACATAATCAGTTAGTGTGTAATAACGTTGATCGTATTGTTGTATCGCTTCATTAAATTTAGAAGAAATTAATATTTTTTTGTAAAATGTTTCTAAATAATGTTTATTTAGATGAATAAAAGAATCGTGGGTTTTTACTACTGTCTGATTTACCAAAGACGTGTGATAAGTTACTAAGCTTAGATGCTACTACTCATATAAATGAAAATGAAAAAATGCCTTAGTTAACTAATGAGTTTCAGAAACTCATTATGCGCTCTCGTTATTTTGAACAAATCTTATCTGTTAAATATAATAGGATAGATAATTGCTAGAGGTGTAATCTGTGCACAAATTATTTTTTTGCAAGCAAATCTGACTTCATTTCTATGTACATTTACTCATATGTTATTTACGAAAGATTATAGCGTAGTTATTAAAAATTTTAGTTTTCAACGATACGCATATATGCAATCATACATATATAATTGTTTATTCGAACCATTTTTATAATACTTGTTGAAATACTTAAAATAGTATTCATAAATTCGTGAAATATTTTTGTCTTCTTTTACGTTTTTCTTTACACTTTATTACCATGACGGGTTTTGACAAGGACGATCGGTTGGTTCGCTGATATATCTGTGAAAAAGTGATTGTGATGCAAATCTGCTCAGTTATGCTCAATTACATGAGAAAGGGATGGTATAGACTATATATTACCAGTGAATTACATATTAACTTCTACTTACCTCAAATAGTAAGTTACAGTAAGGATAATACATCGAACATTATAATCGAGATACGCTATATATTGATTATGTTGTAACAAGTGTAATTATTACGTATTGTTGAAAATACGATGAACATATAGGATAAAAAAAAAGATTTTGTCTTTATAATAGATGTTCCTACATAGTGCACAAAGCGAAAAAATTAGCTTTTATTTTTAGTGTTTCCGTACGGAATAGTTGGTGTACTGATAAAAGGGAGGAACAAATTACATATAAATATTACATATGCATATATATAAATATGAATATAAATGAATACACACGTACATACACACATACTGCTATATATATATATATATATACATAAAAATTATGTTATATATTATGTGATATATACAAAGTTTAGGTACACTATTTTGTCCTACTCATATACATATACGTGCAAACGTATCATGTGTTATAACAATTGTATTATATATAGCATATAAAAGGAGGAACGTGGGAAGAATAGGTTTCAAGTATTTCCAAGAAAATATTACATACGCAATGCGATTAAAAGCATGCGTATTAAAACGCGAGAAGTGAAAGGACTGTTCGTTTCGGAATATATTGTCGAATACGAAGATTTATTTTTATGTGCGGAAGTATCGGCACGAACCTTTCCTTCCCACAAAAATGACGATTCTCTGCGCAATGCGTGAATATATTACATACAGACGTACATTAAGGGTTATTATATAAAGATCACGAGATTGTATCTGCTTCGCGCGATGGTAATACTACAGTGGCTGGCAAATAATAGTTAGCGATATTATTTTCATTTCTCGTTCTTCTTCCTTCATCTTTCATTTCTTTCACCTTCGACCGTGTGTACTTTTTTTTTCTTCTCTCGTTTCGTTCGTTTCTTTTCACAGTCATCTCAATTACACTGCTTTTACCACGGTATTTGTTAATTTGGGTTTCATTTTGGTACAACTAATACTTCTCTACTTGTACTTCTTTGATCTGTACGCAAAATTTCGGGATAAGATGATGTAATTTAGCACTGCAGCATCTGCAGCTTGTAAGAGAAAAATAAGGCACCGTCGTCCAAATTATATCACCTTATCTTACGTAAAAGTGTAAAAAATCACGATCTGTGTTTGCGTATTACTTGTACTTTGCATATTTGTATCTATTGTTCAATGCGTTAATGTCTATATCAAATAACATATCTTACATCGTGTGCAACAAGTGCTATAGGTATTAATCAATATTGTATGTACTTGTTATAATTGTTATTATCTCCCAATGGAGTTTCTATATAGCAGAGTAATGATTCAGATATAACGACGTACATATTGATATTTTTTTAAAAATTGTATCTGGGAGAATTAATTTTATTAGCAAAGAAAAAAGTTCAACGAAATTAGGATAGCTCCTTTACACTGGCACTAGTAGTATTACCAGAATCGCCGTTAATGTTAATTCTTCCTTGAGCGTGTGTAAGTATCACGAATCCTTCAGGGTAATGGTACAGCAAGGCGGAGACAATTGACGACAATTGATAAATGTGCTTTGTTTCTCTGTGAGAGAAAAAGGAAAAAAAAAGATTTACGAGAGAAATTATACACTCTTGTCTGTCCAATGTCTGGAACAACCTAATGAGTTTGGGAGGCACAAGCCCTTTCGTCTCTAATCGAATTTGTTTACGAGATCTTTCTTTAATCAATCTTGTCCTGCTTTGTTTGCCTCCCATAGTGTCTCTAATAATGTACTATGTTATGTTGCGACACATCGTATCGAAGTAAAGGTACTTGTTATCCACTCGTCACTTCATCGAAATACAAGCATGCTCCTTTCTTAATCTGTAGCGAGACTCGTGTGAAAAAGAGAGAAGTCGTTTTTTGCGAATTCAGAGCACTATAGGGGGCTGACAAAACACCTCGGACAATACCCTTTCTCGCTGTATTAAGACAAATAATGTTGCAGCAATAAAATGTAAATTAGCATACGGAGTATTTGTTTTTTTCTGAAAACGCTACTGGCAGAAAACGCAGCAATACTTTGTCGAATCCTTTGTGCGCGGGAACGATATAGCGCGCCTCTCGCCCAGGGATATTATATGTGTATTCTCGTGGTTTTGGCTTGAACGGCGAACCTGTTGCTCAGAGCATTACTGCGTTTTTAACACTTATCCTCAATCCTCTGAATCTGATTAGGACTGTTCCAGACCTATTGGTGGCGGTAACTAACAAGTAGCTTATCCTAAAATACGTGTATATTGTACCACTTTCTCCATGTCGAAGAGAATCTAACATTACCTTTCTCTGAAGCTCATTCGAATGATAAAAAACTGTAAATATCAATGCACATTCATACTCAGCAAAGTGCACTATTTGCAACAGACCTAATCAGACATTTCCCGTTTCTTCTGATTCTTTTTTCTTCTGTAGATAAACGATATCACGCTTTATATCATAAAGTCAGTCATATCAGTTTATATCTATAAATTTTACGAGGTGTAAATACTTGATCTAATAGCTTGTTCGAAAGCGAAATTTATAAGTTGACAGTATAGTAAAATTATTTTTTTTATATATAATTCTAGCAAAAATATTTGAGTAAATTAAAGAAATGATTATGAATATAATTTCTTATATTGGGAGGTAAATGCATATGTAATAGCTTATATTTTATCCTACACGGACAGAATTTTTTTTTTAATTTACCCTGCAAATCATGTTAATTATGGGACAATATAGTATTTAGGCAAATTTTACTGTGCACTACAATAGGATTTCGCAGTAAAATTTATTGTAGTGCACAGTAAAATTTGCCTAAATACTATATTGTCCCACAATTAACATGATTTTCAGGGTAAATTTTAAAAGAAAATTCTCTCCGTGTATTAATAGGAAGACTTATTAAAAAACATATATTATATTGTTCTACATACATACAGAGTGTCCCAGATTATACTGAAAATTTTCTACCGAATTCGTAGTTTGTGTGTCTCTTCATTATAAGATTTGGGATGCTCTGCATAGTGTAAGAGTTTTGATTGAGGGAATCGAAACCGTGTATCGTAGACCATTGTCGAATCGTATCTCTGATGATGTTTTGCAAAATAAAAGAATCTAGGTAAGTACGTTACGCTTCAGTGATAACGGAGGTTCAAAGTTTGATAGTTTAGTTCTAAAAAAAAAAGATATCATTAATATAAAGAAACGTCTTGCTACGTATGATAATTGTATTAATGTAACGCGACGCTCTGTTTTGCAGGAAAATCGGCGAACGATAGAGCGAGGGTACCCCTGGCGCAGTGGAATCCCGGGATCGAGCACGGTGGCAGCGGCGGTGGCGTAGACGACGAGGCGTCCCTGATCACGGAGCCCAACCCGGTCTCGCCGCCGTTCGTCCGCGCGCCGGCGGAGGATCGTTCCAAGTACGAGAAGCTGGCGTTCAACGCCGACGAGGTGTCGAGCGACAGTGACAAGGGCGCCAAGGAGGCGAAGGAGCGAGCGAAGAAGGCGAAGAAGCGACGTGTGAAGAACGTGCTGAGCCGCAGGAGGCGAGTCGCCGCCCAGCACGATAACGAGGAGAACGCGACGAACGTGGATTACGAGTCGGACGACTCGATCGGCTCGGCCAGCGACCTCCGCGCGATGAACGACGAGGAGGGCAACGACGGCGAGGTGAACGACGAAGACGACGACGACGAGGGCGGCAACGTGTGCGGCAAGCATGACGAAACCATCTCCGAGAGCGTGCGCACGTGCAGCAGTTCCGCGTATCACGCGGAATGCGAGTCCGTGGCGACGCACGAGGACGATTACAGGATGAAGAGGCCGAGGAAGCACTACACACATCGGCAGAAGAAACAGCAGCTGCCCACGATCAAAGCGGACCCGATCGTCGGCCATCAGTACGGCGAGAAGCCGCTGCTGTTAGACGACGAGCTGGATCCCGAGTCCAAGCCGGAGCAGTCACACGGCGATCCCTTCGTGGGACATCAGTACGGCGAGAAGCCGTTGCTGTTCAGCAACGACGACAGCTCGTCCGATAACGACAACGAGAAGTCAAAGTCGCTCAACAACGGGATCTGGAAAGTGGAGGACGACGTATTCGCCCTGGCGCCCTTCCCGCGGTCCAGCAGCTCGCGGAAGAGCAGCGACAGCCGCGAGAGCGAGTCCAGGAATGTCGATCTGGTCGGCAGCGCGAGGAACTCGCCCCACAACTCGACGAATCTGGTGACGCCGATCTCGAGTTCGCCCATACCGCTGGAGGTGTTTGCGGATGTGGTGGAAAGCAAACCCACGCCTCCGTCGACCAAATCCGCCGCTCTGTCCTGCAAATATCCCAAGAGTATCGCAATCGCGAACAGCAAGACTATTTACGAAGAACCGACGTCGTTCCATCAGCCGAGCGTCGTCCAAACGTCGTCTCCGGTCAAAAGCAGTTCTCACGTCAGCATCGTCGAGGAGGAGGAGGAGGAGAATATCGAGAAGGACCTCTTTGGCTCCTCTCCGTTCAGTCCGAGCGGATTCACCAATCCCTTCAACAATGCTCAGTCCAATTTCTCGAGCATCGACTCCGCGTCGACTCAACCCATGTCGATCCTGAGCCCGGCGGGCCCTTCCTCGTACATCGATTACGCCAACTGCGTTCCGCTGCAATCCCACAACGCGGCGCCGGACAATTATTACGCTAGTCACTCGAGCACAATCGCGTCCACGTCGAAGTACGGCATGGTGACGGTGAACTCCGAGCCGACGGCCGGCGCGGAACCGTCCAAAGATCTTTTCGGGTCGATCCCGTTCGAGGAGTTCGCCTCGCTGAAGCTCAACGAGCAGCAGCAGCAGCAGCAACAGCAACGCCCGACGTCCCTATCGCTGTCGCAGTCGCTATCTCAGTCACATTCGCCGAATTACAACGTCGTGGACAACGTCGCGTTAACGACGGTGCTGCCGGTCGGCGGCGTCGTGCAGTCCCCGAAGAACACCGTCGTTCATCTGACACCCACTCCGCCGTCGCAGCCGCAACCGCCGTCCGCTTACACGATACAGACGACCACGCATACCGCCAGGATTACCGTGCACGCGGTCAACAGCGTTTCCAAGGTGGACATCACGTCCGACATGATGTCACCCATGTCGCCCGAGCCTTTGGTCGTCGCGGACGACGACACGCCGAAGCACAACAAGAAGGACAAGTCCAAGTATCACCTGATTAATGAGAACCACGGTGACGTCGTCGACGTGTTACCGACTTACAAGGCGTCCCACAAGACCAAATCGGTGAGCCACAAGAAGACGCCGAAGGGCAAGAAAACGGCCGCGACCACCGGTTTCAGCAACATGAGCTTCGAGGATTTCCCCAGCGACGAAAACGAAGAGAGGCAGGCGGGACGGACGAAGGTAGCGCCCTTCGAGGTGATCCGCGAAGTTTCGGAGAAGCGATTTGGATCGTTGAAGAGGCGGAGCAATCCGTTCACCTGAAATGAGATGGTTTTCGTTAGGAGCTAGTTGACACAAAGCCGTTTTATTAACCGCGGGAACGCAGATAGAGCAGCGATATGATATAGTTGATTAATTCGTTGTGTATATTGTAGAGATACCGATAAACTATATCGGTAAACATCGTTCTATACAAAATTACTTGATTGGTCAGAGTTTTATTATGTGTATTGTGAATGCACACACATACACATACACATACACACACGCATATATACTAACAGCGTTAACAAGATATTAATCTCATCGTCAGTAAAAATAACATGATAAAATCTCCAACTGGGAAATCAATCGATATACAGGTTGTGTGTATATGTATATATATATATATATATATATCTGTCTCTTATACACATCTCTGAGC